TGGAGTTGAATTCTTAAGGGCTTTATCCATCTTCAAATAGAGAACGGAAAATTTGTCGTATTATTACCACTTCCTCCATTGATACAACGTCGTATTGGGAGGTTTCACGTCGTAGTGGTGCAGTGGACGTCAAAAAAATGTACTAAAAAACGTGATGCCCGTTGTTGTCGTCATCGTCATCGTCGTTGCTTAAGGTCACCTAATGGCTTCTGGTGCCGACATCGAGGAAACTGATTTACTATTCTTATTTGAGTTTAGCGGATTTAGTCCTAGTCCTCACTTTTTCCATGAAACCTTGCAAAATTAAAGGCAAAGAGTGACTAAACCTACAACAAACGAATAAGGAAAGCGTGATTGTAGAGAGAAAAGTGATTGGAGAGGGAAATTTTGTGGAAAGGCCGAGCAAAGGGGCTTTCTGCGAGGGCGCCCATTAAAGAGTGTCCTCTCTTAAGTTAACGTTTCGGATATGTTGCATTTTTTGGTTCCTACAAAATATTTTCAAATCCTTGAATAAATTTGCTTCCGATTTGGCAAAATTCTTTTCGAGTTCCCAAGATTTAAGATGGAGTGCTTGGACGTTGATGTAAAATGTAATTTTAATGTAGCTAGTTAGTTAATTTGTAACACAGCGTTTATGAAATGAAAATGACCAGACAAATTCAATAAGCAGCCATTACGGCTGACAATCGCGCTGTGGTGTTGCATGCGGACTAGTTTCAGGTGGTTAAGACCAAGGATCAGTTAGTGTTTGAATCGCCTCCTGTCTAATTCTATTTTTTATAGATATCTGTTTTGGACAGACTGGGGCGGAGAACCCAAATTAGAGCGATCTGAAATGGACGGCTCAAATCGTCGGGTTATTATCCGACGAAATATTCATTGGCCCAACGGGCTAACAATAGACTACAGTACACAGAAGATATACTGGACAGATGCAAGTTTATATTATATAGACAAGGCCAAGTATGATGGCACAAATCGCGAGAGCATCTTCAGGTCTTCTAGACAATGTATACTGGGACATCCTTTTGCTCTTACATTGTACGAAAATAAAATATATTGGAAAGACTGGAAAACAAGAGGAATTCACTCGACAAATAAGAACAATGGACTGTAGTGTCCAGTTATTGTACCAAATACTGTTTCTCCAATGGACATTCGTGCCTATGAACGCAAGAGGCAGATGCCGAGACCTCGACCTGGTGAGTATAATTTGCTCATTTGTTTTCTTTGAGGTTACACGTCGATCATTATGCTGAGAGCTGTGTACCAGATGACCAGTTTATTACCTTCACCTCTTTAATGTGCCTTGTAGCACACAACCCTTGTAAAAATTTATCAGTGATCGCGGCGCGATTTAAATAAATCGCGCCCGCGATGGCGACGCGGTGATCGCGATCACGACAAGGTTATAGCGATCGCGGCGCCATGATATCAGTGATGGCGGAGCAATTAAAATAAATCGCGCTCGCGATAGCGACGCGATGATCGAGATCGCGGCGTGGTGATTGCTATCGCGGCGAGATTTAATAAAGTCACTTTCGTGGTCTAAATGTCAGGTCAGCTCCTAGCCAGTGTTCACTGGAGCATCCGTTTGCTCTTGCTTTGTACGCCGATAAATTATATTGAACAGACTTAGCCTGCGTAGCTGGCGGTATTGTGTGGGTGCGAGATTAAAGTTTTGGCGGTGGAGCCGTGTTCCAAAAAAAAGGAGTAGGGGCGGGGCGGTTGAAATACCGCTTGCCAGAAAACCCCGGTATTTTGAATGGTCCGCAGACCAGTGTGCGGGGAAACGGATTGGTCGAGGGCCATACATATGTCAATCATGTTAGATGAGCCTTCGCGTATATTTCCCAATTTAGGGAGCAGATGGCAAACTGGAGAAGACGTACGTGTAAAGTGATTGTGATTTCCGCTTCAGAAAGAGCATAATTGATGAACAAATTGCCGAAATGGCGTGTTTTAACTTCACAGCGCTGGAATTGTCTTAATTTAGCCGTAAGAAACAAAGGTCAAAGAAAATTAAAACACTTTACAACTGCATCTGAGATCAAATCCTATCAGCTGTATCAGGAACACCTACAGAAGAATAAACCACCGGAAATGGTTGCTCAGTATGCATGTCACAAACCAGCTTCATGACCTTTTAATGTTAAGCCTAGTGTTGCAAAAAAAGATTTACTCAGTCAAAGTTTAGAATGATACATGCACTGTGTAATGCTAGTAACCTTCGAGCGAGAGCCGAGAAAATAAAAAAAACCTCTGTTCAAGCAAACTCACAAGGTCACGTTTCACATTGTCAAGAGCTTAGGAGTCGTGTTTAGCCTGTCAACGCTTATTTCTAAACTGTCTCGCGCGAAAATAATCGGAAGTTTCAAACTGCAGGTTTCTCTTTGATTAGCTGATTTAATTGGGATCAGCTAACGTGACAAAAAGTGGGCGGGATTCGAAAAATCATGATTCTCTGGCAGGCGGTATTTCTCGCGGCTTCGCCGCTCGTGACGGCTCCGCCGTCAAATCTCACTCGACTATATTACAACGGCTCCGCCGCCAAATCTCACTCGACTACTACACAATACCGCCAGCTACGCAGGCTAGAACAGACTGGAAAAAAAGAGGGATTCTCTCCACAAACAAGAACAATGCACTGCGGTGCCCAGTAATTAAAAAGTCAAATACTTCTCAAATGGATATTCGTGCCTATGAAGCCAAAAGGCAGGTACCCAGGCCCGGTAAGTGTTTTTCTCTTGAATACTCTTTTGTTCGTAAAACTGTAACCTGAGAAAACAGCAGATATTTGGTGTCATAACCACTGGTTTCCCCGTTAAACAAACTGGTTACATGAAGTCTGAGAAACGAGCGCAGAAATTCCATACAGATGACGGGTCACCACCCATCCTCGGAGACCCAGGGGCAGTCAGTCGGGCCGGGAGAAAAGGCTCGACGAAAGTTTTCAAGCACAGGCAGAAAAGCCCCTGGGTACCGACTCTCACCGGACCATTTCCAAACGGTCAAGCGAATACTGGCACCTGATATGGGCACAAGAAATGCGTTGTATCATTGTGCCCAATCGGCGAACAGCATCCCCTAAGTTCTTTTCGTGAATTCATACACGACGGCTATTAGAGACTTTAAGATCCAGCGACGCGACCACGACGAGAACGTCGCTTAAAAAGTGAATCTGAGTTCTCTCAGTCTTTATCGCAATTATTCCCACCCACTTACTTTGTCAAATGTAGGAGAACCCTTCTGGAATTGAATTCCTAGGGACCATATCCAAGTTGAGGAAGAGAAATAAAATTTCGTCGTTGCTTCTTTACGTACTCCATAAAACGCGAACTTATGCATTTTCACGTCGTAGTCGTGCAAAAACGGACAAAGAAATGTACAAAAAAGCGTGATGCACAGTTGTTGATAACGTTCTCGTTGCCGTCCGCTTCGTTGGATCCGCCCTAAATCGATCACGGCTTGTCTGGCTCATGCACTAAAGAAATGCACGCAGACAGGAAACTTTCAGTTTAATATAAACTCTCCATTTGAAAATACTGTCTACCCGAAAACTAAAGACGCTTTTCCAAAAATAAAAGTTTGAGCTTCCAACAGGCATTCACGCTTGCATCGATCACGCCTTCGTAAATATTAGGGAGTTTAAGATGCCACGACAGCTGAAAGCCACGAAAACGTCGCATGAAAAGTGAATTCACATTTTTTCAGTCTCTATCGTAATTATTCCAACTCGCTTACTTTGCCAAATGCAAGCGAACTCTTCTGGAGCCGAATTTCTCTAAGCCACATCCAAGTTCATAAAGAGAAAGAAAATTTTGTCATTGCCTGCATTTTACGTCCTTCACAAAACGTGAAATTAGGCATTTTCCCGTGGTAGTCGTGCAGGGAAGGCAAAGAAATGTACACAAAATCGCGATGTACGTGCAAAGTTGTTGTTTTGCCTTGTCAAGGAGTTGCCAAGGAGCGCTTACCATTTGTATGGAAAACCCGGTAATTCCAGGGAGAATTCAAATGGAACGGTTCATCCCGGTGGAAATTTTTCCAGAAAGAAAGTAATACCTTTCGAGGTATTACCTTTTTCCCGTTTTTACTGATACGACCGAAATTGTTTGCACCATTTGTCTGGTTAACGAGTGCCTGGCGTGTCTTGAGGCGGAAGGTGATTTGTTTCAACCCAGGCCCACTCGTTACCTGGTGTTTTGCAGTAGTGCTTCTGATTAGTTGAATCAAATTTCCCACGCGGCACGACCAACCAGAAGTACTACCCAGATCTGGGTAGTGACGCGTCATCAGTATGGAATTTCTGCGCTCGTTTCTCAGACGTCATTCAGCGGGGAAATCAGTGGTAGCGTCGCCAAATGTCGGCTGTTTTCTCAGACTAGTGAAACTGTTGTCGATTCACTTGACTGTCATTTTCTTGGTGAAAGATTGTGTACACGTTTCCTTTACGGTGAAAAATTTACATTTTTCAACGTATTGGTTTTCTAGAACGAAGGACGGTTTTGATTTATCATACTACATGGCGGACAAACTGTGAAACAAATGCCATTTTTGTCCGCCATGCTTGTCTTACATCGGTCAAGTAATTTACTCCTAGAAAAATCCGTAAGTAAGCCTTCTATGCATCATTGTCCAGGGACCTGGCACAGCAGTTATAGAGAAATAAAGACCATTCATCGACTGACAACGGGTTGTGATCGAAGGTTACAGGCTAGAAAGAGAATTTGGTCAAAGTGCTCGTTTTTCTTCTTGATCTATAATATTTTAACCCATTCTTGGGGTAACCCATTTCCCCAATCACTTCACGCTAAAAGATAGGAGGATACCACTTAAGCTTTGAAAACTAGATTTTTCCAATTAGTATACATCATGTCTGAGATCACTCCCAGAAACAATGGCAACAAATTTTATGCATTCGTTTCAGGTAAAAATCCCTGCAGTTCAAGTACTAATGGAGGTTGCAGTGATTTATGCTTGCTTAATAATCGTGGTAAATCATGTGCCTGCCCGACTGGCGTGAAGCTTTTACCTGACAACAAGACTTGTGAGCAAGGTAAGCGGCGGAAACTTTGAAAGCGGTTTCTTGGTTACATACACCTCATCTGCGTTTATTTAAATTCGCATTCCAGCGCTTGATGTTTTTTCCTTCGGAGTACAACACGCATTATAGAATTTTAAGAAATCAAGTTAAGTATTTGAGACTTTTTTTATAGACTCACCATTTTTTGTGTTAGAACATCTCTTGTTTGAAGACGGTTCCGTCATGTTAGTTAAGTCTACAACTTTTTACCAATCCAGCCCAAAATAGTTTTTGTGGCTAAGCAAACTACATAAATTTCACTTCCACGGATTATTTCTACTCCCTTGCGAATTTTGGCAGCGCAGTGCTGCACTTCGATTGAAACAGAAAGTTAAAGAAGCACAAACGTTTCAGGGATGAATAAAACTAGAACGCATTATTATTGTCAGAGGGAAACATTTTTATCTATGAAGGGGGGCTTCAAGAAGTACTCTGTAGCCTAGGACAAACGTCGAACCTTTCATGAGAAGAACCAAAATCTAATTTGGGAATTATGCACTCTTAAAGTTTCTAGATGTAAATAAAATAAATGTCTGTTGCATAGTTACTGAGGCGTTCTTACTAAATTTAAAGTAATTTGGGGGAGAATCATAATTTCTGCATTTTTTGCTAAAATGAGCATAATTTGCAGAAAATAGATTTAATTTTAGAAATATACGAACACTCCTAGTAGCATATTATGCTATTTTTGGGAGCACGATCTATCAAAGCCTAGCTATTGCTTTGGCGTACGTCGCAGGTCCCGTTCACGTTTTGATGCTGGTTAAGGAAAAGGGGATTTGCGCCACATATTCCTGGACACACCCGACCTCACTGATGTTGTCATACCAGTTTCTGGTCTCCTACCATAATGGCCAAATTTCAGTTGTAATAGGTGAAAGGCAGAACTTCCAGTACTTCATTTAAATTCATTTTGTTACAGGTCCTGTACACTTCCTATTATTGGCACGTAAAGTAGATATACGACGTATTTCACTTGACACACCCGACCTCACTGATGTTGTTATGCCAGTTTCTGGTCTCCGCCATGCAGTTGCGATTGATTTTGATCCTGTGAATAAATTTGTATATTGGAGCGATGACGAAAAGCTTGAAATTAAAAGGTCCAAAATGGATGGAACAGGTAGGGCTGCACTGTTGCTTTTTATAAGTTTTACCACGGGCCTCGATTGAAATAATCAGGTTCATTTGGCGCTTACTGTTACAATTTACATTCTGCGCTCTCCCTGAAAGTTTATTTAATTTTGGCTTCAACAGAACCTCCTACTAAGGGGCAGACAATTCCTGTTAGATGCATTGTACTAGATCCCGTTTACATTAAGAAACGTTGTTCCAGCAGGTAGAAGTAAGGGTCACTCGCCTAACTGATCGAACAACCCTGGCTTTTACTACGTTTTCCTCACAGAATTTGGCAAAACGTATACATGAATTTGTCACAAAGTGTCGGCTCGGCTAAAAGGGTGACGCCCCTAGCTGAGGCATCCTTTTGTGATGGTAGGGTCGCCCTCCTTTCCGTGCCAACTTTTCTCCATAAAAACACTCTTGTCTAACCGCGGCAGGATTAGCTCAGCCGGTAGAACACTTGTATTGCAAAGTGGGAGACCGCGGGCTCGATTCTCTCTGGACCGGACCGATACTCAGGGACTTAAACTAAATGGAAATTGATGGTACGGCCTTTGCCCTGAAATGGCTACACCCTCGGGTGGTTCAGATGACCACGTAAAATGGCGGTCCCGTCTCCAGTAGGAGATGTACAAGCTGAATACATTGACACTCAAATAAAGTGCAGAGTGCGCCCAGCTTGGTCAACCCTGTCAATCAATCAAAGCATGCGCAAGCAATGCTTTTTACAAGACGCAATCTCGCTCCCAGAGGCTGCAATCCTTTTGGTCAGCATCAAGGATGCCCGTTCCGCTGGACAAGGGTAACGAAGGCTTTCGGGACCAGATTTACCCAAGACCCATTGTCTCTGGCAAAGGGTTCAACTCAAATGAACTGTCGCTAAATTTAACTGGGCTGGTAGGGTCACCCGTCTGGCTCGTACAACTTTACTCCATATAAACGGGCCTCAGCTAACACCTGGCATGCAGCTGAAGCAGAGCCATTTCTAGCTTCATGAGTGGCACGCTCTTTATGTTTGTTTGATTACCTTTGTTAGATGTGCAAGTCTTAATCAACAACGTTAGCCATCCTGATGGTCTTGCCGTTGAGTGGGTGGCACGGAACTTGTACTGGACTGACACAGGCACAGATCGAATTGAAGTCAGCAGGTTGGATGGCTCGTCTAGAAAGATCGTCATCTCTGAAGACCTAGACGAGCCAAGAGTAATAACACTGTACCCTTCTCTAGGGTAAGCTGGTTATTATGAGTCTACGGCCATAAATGATGAGGTCCTAAGCACACGGAGTGAACTTTGTTCAAAAACTCGTCCTTTTTTTCAACATCGCACTGGTGTTCCAGCCGCTAATGAAACTGCATTGCATTTCCGTCATTGCGCTACTAATAAGGGACTTTTTTGACACTCCTATTAAGCAATTCGTAAGACATCCCCAAGGTTTAAATATTAGTCTAGTGACCTCGAATACAGGATTAGACACTGCTATGCTGATCAGATCCCTAAGATGCTACACGTACTGAAAAGAAATGCTTATTGTGACACTAACTGAGAATACACACTCAGGAACAAAGCAAAACAAGCTCGAGCTAAGCTTGGCTAAGTGTTCGTCACAAATAAATCGTGATAATCAAAAGACTACATGTAACTGAAAAGACTGATCACACAATTTCAAGCACATATTAACGTTATTTTTCAACTGGCCAAAACCCCGCTTCTAACCCCTCTTCTCAGGTTTATACAGTGAAAACCTAAATTCTGTTTCTCTGGCACGTACATGTTCTGGACTGATTGGTAGTCAGGTCTCTTAAGGTCAGGATCGTTACAGAATTGACAAAAGCACGAAACTTTGCACAGCGATAGCTTATTGCAGTACCATGAATATTAGAGGGGGTGCCCAATGCAAATATGCCACTGAAGCGTGCTAAACAGGATTTAATTATTGTAAATTTCACCTCCTGGGTCCCTGTGGTGTTTTGGATTGAAATTGTTATTTAATACCTTAAATCACTCAGAATGCTCTTCTCATGTTGTAAACAACAATTTCACTCCAACATCTGGCATTCCCATCCATTCTTAGCTTATTGATTGTATAATTAAGTTGACAGTCCACCCACATTTTCATAAGTCATTTCTAACTTTGCTCCTTAACCTACAAGTACTCAGCTTCTGGGGTTCTCTTTTCCTTTGCTAATGTATTTCAATTAAAGGAGGCCTTATTTATCAAGTATTACTTGTCATTACATGTTACTTTAAGCTAAAGAAAGCGTATGGCATAGCTGATTCCTACACAAAATTTCAGAAAAAAGAAATTGTCAAAGAGTCTGTTGTATCACATATTGTCAGGAATTATAATAATAATAATACCTTTATTTATCACCTTTGGCGATAAGAATTACGGTAATGTTACAATAAAATTCAAAACACTACATTTATGACAGGTGTTCATGAAGAGCAAATAACGAAATGACGAACCCAAAATAGTTCTTTCCTAAGGAGGTAATCAATTTCTCAGCTTAACATAGGCCTGGATGCCTTTCAGTCTCTCTCTATCTGCTGGACCCACATGCATGTTTTGACAGAGAAGCAAGCATCGTGGCACAAGTCATATCATTTACAATTCCCGCAGTTTGTCTAAGCTTTACAAAGCAAAACCAAACAAAAAAGAATCTGGTCTTATAAACGCAAAAAAGAAACAAGTTAGCCCAGGCTTCAAAAAACCGCACAGTTTATCATGAAGCCTCTACATTTGGCACTGAAGCAATCATGTCCAAAAATAATAACAGCTAGCTTATCAAGTCGTAAAAGTGAGACTCAAGTGGAACAAGATTGACTCAAATGATAAATGGTGAATGGTTTAACTGCTGAAACTGAAGAAAGGGAGCCGGGCTAACTTTTAGGGCCTGTTTACATAGAGGAGGGTGACCCCAGGTAGGCAGGGTAACCCACTTAGGTGGGGTAAACCGCCTGTCCATATAATCTCTCATTTTACTTTGATCACGTTTACATGATAGGTGGGATGACCCTTCAAGGTGGGTAGCCCGGTCTGCCACACCGGGTAACCCTCTCAGCTGAAGTCAAATTCTGCCATGTCAACGTTTCAAGATGAGGTATACACGTTTTCAAGTCGTGGTCGGATTCGTGATACATCAAATTTGCGCGAAATTCACTTTGGCGCCGGGTGGCTTCACATAATTATTAAAGGTAACAATAGAAAGCCACAACACTGAAGGTTGCAGCAAGAGCAGCAAGTGAGCGTAGACGTGGTTTGTGCTTAGCAACCATTCAATAATCTTGAGAAAGTGCACCCCAGGATGGCTGATTTGTAAGATTGCATGTAAAGGAGGGTTATTTTTTACCCCCCTAAGCAGGTTACCTCACCTACCTGGGGTCCCCCACCTTTATATTAACAGGCCCTAAGTCTCCGGAACCGTTGAACTGGTAAAAAACAGTATACCTAACCTGGCACTAGCGGTGATACTACTTCCATCTTCAAAAACGTCAGCATAGCAGCCAAAGGAGCCATTATATCGGTGTAACACGAAGATTAGATTGCGGTTGTTTCATGCGTCTCGTTTTGTGACTTTCTTTGTGTTCGTTTTTGTCACCATCTCTAAATGTCAATCATATGTTCAAAACACCCCTACTAACAAAATATTTCGTAAAGCTCTTTAGAACGATATTCGGCAATAAAAACAAGGTGTGACCAGGAGCCGATTTCTAGGCTCCTGGTGTGGCAACATAGGCATAAATGAATGCAAAGTTTTGCGGTGTGTGATCTGTCAAAAATCTGTTTGAGTGGTCAAAGTTGGGGGTGATGGGCTTCTTTATCATGACCACTCCATTATTATAAGGGACTAAGCCATAATTATTGTTGACCCTTGCCTTTTTTGGAATTTTCTGTAATTTTCCACAGCATTATTTTGCGAAAAGTTGGTAACTGAATTGCTCTTGAGGAATTCATGATTGTAAGATTTCGTAACCATGGGGTATTTGCCTAATTGCATCAAACAAATTACATTCATTTTCATAAATGGTGCATCATTGGTTGGCTAAAAGAGGCCTTGCTCCTGTAACTTTCAGCTCTTCTGAAATTAGTTTGTTTTTAAATTGTAACGGACGCGACGACCTTCCTCTTTTTTGAAAGATCGTATAGACCTACCATTAACACTCTGGTGCGAGGGCTCCGAAGTGAATGAGCTCCTTACAGGTGTCTAGGCATGCAGGGACCTCATACACTGCTTTTTAAATGCAAATGTGTAAAAAAAATAAAGAGTGTTAAAAATTCCTGGAGAGGCATGTTTTACAACCTCATCCCCAGAGCTTAATAAAAAGGTAGAAAAAGGACCATATTTTACATCAATAACTCTTGACAGTAATAATAACTGATAAACTTAAGGTCGACGGTGCGCTCCTTTTACCCCCCTCTCTCCATTAATGCTCTGTTTTAAGGGTATTTAAAACTATTCAAAGCTACACAGAATCGAGAGAAGTTGAAATAGGGATGTGTTGACATCGCGGATCGAACTCGGGACCTCGTGCACCAAAGGCTGTGCACCGAAGGCTGCGCACTAACCAACTGTGCCACCCTTGCTCCTCCTTTTCCCCCTCAGGACGAGGTTGACATGTTTTTTCATTATCTCAAGGACAGGGTTACCAACGAAGCAAATTATAATCTAATCTTAGCTGCACAATTACAAAGTAGGCGCGTTGTCAGTTACGGTCCATGAGGTCGTTCATGTAGCATGTCAAAATTTAACGATTCTATCGTTTAGGAAGTGATACATTTGGGTTTTACGTTATTGTATGACATCTTTGAAAGCTGGCTTTGTGATCTGTTTAAAACGATATATGTTATGATATTGTCACTGGCGAGTCTTAGCAGTGACACTGATAGCCTCACAGTGAACATGGCCACACTTACCGTGTGGAGACTGGGCACTAGTCAGTATTATGAACATGTAAAACTATTTTGAATAGTGTAACAACAACTAAACATTACCAGCTTAAAAACTTAAAAATTTGAAACAAATGTTGTTTAGCCAAATCAAACAAGAAGAGTACTCACCACAGGGAACCCAATCTGCTATTATAGGTGAAAGTTAACCCCCCCCCCCCCCCCCCAACCCCCCCCCCCCCCCCTTTACCTGTAATTTGGACCATTTGTAACGGGCACCCCCTCCAGTATCAATCGGCAGGTGCTATGGAAGCTCTGTGCCAAATTTGACACTTTTGTCACGTCTGTAACGACCCGGCCTATATTTTGCACTAAGAGACCTGACTAGGGGGAAAACATCCAAAGATTGAACGAGCAGAACTGGATGGTAATCATCGTATTACTTTGGTGAAGACATCGGTGGTTTGGCCTAATGGCATTACCATTGATTTCCACGAACAAAAACTCCACTGGGTTGACGCCAAGTTGGACAAAATTGAAATCATGAACCATGATGGAAGCAACCGTAGAGTAATTCTTGACTCTAAACTGCCACATGTGTTTGGATTTACTGTGATAGGAGATCGTTTGTTTTGGACAGATTGGCAAAGACATGCCATAGAGAGTGTCAACAAAAAGCTAAGACTGGTAACAACAGAAACGTGATCCTTGACAGTGTACCTGATTTGATGGTATTGAAGACTGTCAGTCTTGATCTCCCTCTTGGTAAGGCTGTGTTTTTTGTGTGTTACAGTTTGGTTGATTTGATTTGTTTCTGACTGTTAAGCAACCAAATAACGATGGTAGCTACCAGCGTCACAAAAAAAAGGAATGTCGAAATTACACTAAAGATCGTTGCTTTACAAAAGATGCCAAGCAGATTGTTTTTGTGAAGGGTTGGAGTCATTTCAAGAGGAATAGTTCACCCGGACGATCATACTTAGCTTATGACAGGTTATTTTTATTCGCAGAGTTCATTTGTAAATCGACTACCCTTTCGGACAGACCTCGTTTTGGCGTTTTAGCTAATAGGAGTAAATTTTCTTTTAATTGCTAAAAACGAAATTCCCAGCGACACAGTACTCTCCCATGACTTGTAGTCGACTTGTTTTTTTGCCAGTACATCAGATAGCAGTTTCTCATTATGATATGATGAATATGTGAATTTCACATGTTGAAACCGCGGATTGAAGAAATGAAATGCAACTACATCACCTCAGTTAAAGAGACGGGTCTGCAGGGTCAGGGTACCGGCGAACCTGTGATGACCTTTGTTGCATTTAACTTCTCATTCATGTTCCCCT